CCCCTATCCTCCTCCTGATGTCTGAAACAGACTTTTCTGTATGGTATACATTATACACAGAAACACGCATGCAAATCGCATCTCACAGGTTTTCTGTGGTGGTTTTAATAGTTTAAACTCACCTCATATCCTGGACAAGAGAGATTCTAAGAGGTGACATGGCGGGACTGGTATCAGACTTTCTCCTTTCTGAATCAAGAAGTATTCCTAGATTCAGAAGAAAAGATGGATTTCTACTAACAAGAAATTCTGAAGATTTTAAAATCAATATAAAAAAGATGAACTAACACCAACTTGCACTCCTGCACTATTGGTGACTCACTGCTTTGTGAAGATATTGTGGCATATTTCCCCTTCAAATTACATGAAAATCTAACACACTACACAGGTGGTTATGCAGATTAGCACGCACTGAGCATTAACACATTGAGCTTACATTCAGCTGAAATTGGTATGACATCAAATGGCTTAAGACATATACTAATCAAGTACTATTTTGTAAAGACTAACCCATTTTAGTTCTATGTAGTAAAACTGACTGACACCGTTGACAGCAGAAAACAGCGTTTGACATGTTTTACTGAGTACACCACACACCATTTGCTTAACTAATCCACCACTTTGCACACTCCTGTAACACCACTACTTTTTAAAATAGCACATCTGGGGTTTTTTTTAAGCAACATTATTACTCCTATCTTTCAAATTCTGCTGTAGAATCAAGTTCTATATTAAGTAGAGTCCCTGCCCTCAATCCCAACTTAGAAAGCATAAAACCAATTGTCATTTCAGTCTGATATGCAAAAACTCTATGGACGAACTGACATTCAGGAGACATGTGTGTTTATGATTACTTACAGGACCTTGGGCATGTCAGTAATGCTCAGCTCTTTGCCTACAGCAACTTAAAAAAAAAAAAAGCACCCACTGCCTTCCCCAAAACCATTGTTCTCTCCGAAGTGATACCCTATTCCCCCATCTGACACAACTAATGTTTAAAAATTATATTAATAACCTCAGAAATAGATTATCAGTGGATTTTACGTGCAGTGTTACTTTCAATACAACACTTGATATAACAAAAATTAAAATGTTTCTTTTGTGTTTTTTGTATTTTTTACAATCTTGTTCTTTTAAACAATAAGCCTACTGAACAGTTGTTTTTCAAGAAAGAAAACTTCGGGATGTACAGCTCAATTTTATATGCTCACACTTGTTTCCACCCCCATCCACAACATGATATGCCTTGCCAGCCATGCAGTGACTATGTGTCATTTGGGGAGGATGGTATATTGGAGCAATTAATCTTAAAGCCTATCTTTGAAACATCAGGTATTTCTGGTATCTGGCTACTCCAGTAATCAGATACCAGACCCAAACAAGTGGGCTCAATCCAAACAAGTTTATTTTTCACAAAATATATTGAGACAATTCACCAGGTACACATTAATTCCGTAGCAGATAGAATACTTGATTCAGTTATATTGAATGAAGGATATTTTGAAGGAAACAATCTCTGCATGGTGCACATCTGCACGCAGCTCTTTCTCATAGTTTCTTATTGTCTTCTTCCAGTGGAAGACAATCTTACCTGAGCTACTGAAGCTGCCTGATGTAGTTTTTCTCTGTCTGTTTTCCAGGTAGTGTAACAGATGAGACCACAAAGCAGACTTTCCCTAAAATAAAAAAAACCCACATTAGTTAAAGAAATTGCTGTCAACTGAATTAAAAAGTTAAATCATCATTGAAAGTATCAGTCATAACAAAAAATGCTTTAAATATGTTTCTCCCTATAAAGTTATTGGTAAAAACCAAAAATGAGACACAAGTCAGAGGTGCCTGGGAGATGTAAAGAGGTTGGGAAAGCAAAGCAGGAGTCAAACTACTGGGACCTAATTATTTCAGTAACTGGAAAAAGTCAGCTGAACTTCATTTCTCATAGTGTATTAACATGACAAGAAAACACTTAAAGGCTTGTAAAACTCCGTGTGCGAGTAGAGTTCTAAGTCTGAGGCCATAACCTGCACTGTGTGTCTCTCCCTCCCTGCCTCTCCGGCAGTGAAGTGACAAGAGAGACAGAGCCAGCCTGAGCAAAACACCTTACACCCAGACCAATCTTGTGTGTCTGTTCCCTTCAGGGTAATTCAGGGCTATAGATGCACACTGTCAATTTTCAGAACCTCAAAAGATCCCCCTCGATTTCACCAGGCAAAGGACTTGGATAATCACAAACACAGTAAGAAAAGACAACCCAAACACAAGCAGGACAATGAAAGCTTACCAGCAACTCGAGCTCCACACATTATAAAACCAACTTAAAGGTTAAAATGTGGGATGTAGTATTTAGGCCAAGATAAATCCATCAAACGATGTTAAAAGGTGCACCTTGCTCATTACGTTGCTTTCTTAAACCTCTGGTGGCTTAAAGCAAAGTGTGAGGAAATCTTCCGCTGGCAAACTAAAAAGATTCTTGGATTCATCCTAAAACATTCTGCACCATAAATCAAAAGCTTGCAAAGCCACAGAAAGGCAGCAGTAATTGAACAGGGGCTCTCCAGCACATTAATTAGAATTACTTACAGAGGAAATTAATTAGTATTACTTATCATCTTCCTAAATTATTATATTCACTTGAAATCCCAGTAAGGATTTAGCAATTCTGCATTCCAGAAAAACAGTCATATTACAAAGCCATATTGTTATTTACAACTTTGTGCATAAAGAAATGATAACTGTAAAACAATTGTTTCAATTCAGCACTATCAATGTCATCTAAAATTATGTAAGTGTGTTCCTGGAGGTACAGTAATTATAGTTCATCTCTGAATCTTTTTTTAAAACTATCTTTAAAAAAAAAAAATCTCTAAATGCTTCAATCCTATAGCTCACTACAGTTGATAAAAAGAACTAATGACCATGAGGGATTATTCCAGAAGTGGCATGCCTCCACAAGATAAAGCCTAGAGTGTCCGTAACATCTGTGTTGAAAGAAATCTATTAAAAACATGCATTCAGTGGTGAAGTTATAAAAAAATCCAGAGAAGCTCAATGCCTCCTCATATGTGTACCTGACAGATCCAACATGGAAAGCCAACATTGCAAGTCTTATAAAAAGAGAGCATGAAAAATATCAACCAAGGAAGAGTTACATCCAAAATGGCATTTGTCTCAATAAACACACGCATGCACGCACAGTCTAGTGTTCAGCAACTAGCTGCCACGGCACGGAGAACTGCAACAGATCACATAAAGCAGCAAACAAAGGGTCCTGCAGCAAACAGACGTCAACAATCATGACAAATGGAAGAACTCATGCAGTATATATCTGCCCACTCCCTTTACCATCATGGTACTCTCCTTTAACTTCACCAAATAGCAATGATGATGCAAGCTGTATCTATGAGGGAAAGGAAGACAGCCTAAGGAAAGCAGTGGGACAGAGAATGGGCAAGGAATAACCAACGCCTTCTGAAAGTTTCGAGTATTTCAGTCGCTAGACCCTACATTCAACAGCTCTCCTGCATTGCACTGCTCTGGGCAAAGGAAGGTCTGGATTCGCTTTGCACTGGAAGAATCAGTAGGTAGCTAATGGAGGACTATCAGGGTTCATCAGCAAAAGGGGTAAAAGCAGGGATTGGTGGAAGGAAAGCCATCCTCATTACTACGGTCAACTGAGAAAGAAGAGTCTTCCTTGGCTCATTATTGAAAAATACAATAAAATCGATGTATAAGAGAGTAGGCTTTTGCATATTTAATAAAGGCCAGAGCACACAGAGACTTGGTGGTGCTTTTTTTTGGTTGTGTTTTGGGTTTTTTGGGGGGGCTTTTTTTTTTTGGGTTTTTGGTTTTTTTTTTTTAACACTGTGGATCATAATACGAGATGCATTGCACTTCCTCCGCCAGGCCTCTATCATATTCCACCATTCAGCACTGTTTGCCAACATCTGCAATCAATCCAAAGCATTAACCTTATGTAGGGTTGGCCGCCTGGTGCTCTGAAAGGCCCAAATCTGAGTTGAAGCAGAGTATACTGATGCTCTGTCTTCTAAGATGAAAGCAGTACAGCTTCTATCCTAAGTGATATACAAGAGGGGAGAGAATCACATGATAAATCTTCACACAGAACTGCTATAGAGTTTGAAGGAGAGCATATTTAAACACTGGCGCTTGGGTGCTGGGAACAGAGATACTGAATTACAGTTGTCCAGATTATGTACACAATCTTTTAAAAAAAAGTTATTATCCTCCCTGTTCTTGCTATTTTTTTGTGCAAAGGAGGAGGAAAGAATAACGGCCTTCCATCTAGTCCCACAAGTGACTCCAACAGAAGAGTACGAAAAGCAATTATTCATTTCATACGAAAAACACCACCTCCAACTAGTGATCTTGTAAATGTCAATTAACTATCCCTACGTCATTCAGGAAGAATCAAAGTAGCAAGGGTTTTACTCTTAAAAATGAAATTATCCTTCGTGAAAACAAATTCCCCATACCATATCCCACTGACAGCACCTTTAGCGTACGTTGCCTTATAGCCAATTTCAATAACAAAAGTATTAAGACCACAGAAATAGTTTTATTTACCATCCTATTAAAAAAACCACCAAGACCCACAAATCAAACCAAACAAAAACCCCAGGTTAAATGGAAAGAAAGTCTTCCAAGAAGTCATCTGTGGAACACATCTACACGTGCACTTGCACATACCCCAGAGCAAAAAGTGGAGACAGAGAAGGGGGGCAGCAACCGATACAAAAAAGGCTGGGAGGGGGGAAACAAGTATTTTAACACATCTAAATACACTAAAAAAGGTATCCTCTGAAAGCGGAGAGAGGAAGAGCATAACGTGACTTTAGGAAATACAGGAATATTTGTTCCTCACCTGTTTGACTTGCAGACCGTGGCTCCATATTCTTTCTAAGAGGTCACACAGACTGGCTATCAGGGTATTCTCTTCTACACCTGTGATATTCACTTCACCATGACCTAGCTCCACAGCTTCTCGACCCATTTTTTCAACCAACATCCTCTTGGTCTCAAAAAGGACAAGGCAAAAGGAGGTTAATTCTTTCCACGGGAACTTCCACTTTTTAAATAAACCAACAAGAATACACACGATAGCAAAAATGTAGTGGAATAACTGGGTGTATGCAGTATTTCTGAAGCTAGTGCAGGACTGCATTTCTCTTATCCCTGTTTTCCAAGCCATGGCAGCACCAGTGTTGACTGCTTCAATGGCACGCAAGCATCCGCAGAGTAACCCCCACAAAGGGAACAGCAGGCCACACACTGACAAGCTAGAGGCCCAGCAGCAAGGCCCTGCAAGGCCGGCTGGGGTGTTTCTGGAGCCTGGCGAGTGCTGGACTGGGAGCAGCACGCTGTGTCCACCTCCTCCCAGGGAGGTGAATGTGCACAAGCGCCTCCAATTAGCAGGGGCTTACGTGATTCCTGCAAGACCCTGCTCTGTCAGAAGGGTATTTGCATTTAGATCAAACACATTCTGGGGTGTAGCTCCTGAGTTTCCCGATGAGTTACATTCTCCTAAATTGTGCACAATTTCATACTGGCCAACAAAGCTCTCATAATACAGTCTCACAGTCACAATATATTCATCATATAGCTACCTGGAGGGAAAAATGACTGGGGAATCAGCTCTGCTCATCTCTGATACATTTTTTCATCTTGCTATTGTAGAGCAGCTCTCAAATGAGTAACACTCCCTTAGGCACCTATGCACAGTCTTAGTTGAGAAGAACTCCAAGGTAGCCTCTAGCTTCTTCTCCTCCGCACCTCCCCTAGTAACTTCTCTCTCTGCTACCAGCAGGCTCACTACATTCCCTAGAGTTGCCTTCCCACAGCAAAAGAACCCAGCCTGTCTTCAAGGATTTTCACTGTCATACGCATCTATTAAGTGAGGGGGATTATTTGGACTGTTTCACACATACAGAAAACTAAACAGAAATCAGAAGCAGATGCATACATTAAACACAGGTTTACAAAAAGTTGCATTCAATTGCTATATTACCTCCACTAACTTATGTCAAGTATGTGTCTATTTGATAATTATTCTCTTTACTGTGTTAGTATAAACATTTGCATTTAATTCAGATGAATATATTGTCAAATATATACTGGTGAAGCATGCCTACAAACTAATGCCAAATTTCTTTAACTGCTTGAAAACTTACATTTCAGAATTCCATTAACCCACTTCCTTTAGCTACAAGAAAAGCTCCTGCATTTTCACCACAGCCTCCTCTTTTGGAATATATGCTCTAGTTGAAATACTATAGTCTCATTAGTGATAACTGAAGTATGCTATAACAGACATGGGCAGCAGGATGATAAAGACCCATCAGAATATTCAATCTCTTTCTATCATTTTACATTCTCTATCATAAATCTGCTTGATAAAGTTTCCACTCCTTGCAGAATTTCTAAATATGTTGCCTCTTCATAAATTTCTCACTACCATGCAAAAATCCTTATACAGATAAAGCAGAAACAGATGGCGGAAGAGGGGGATTCAAACATACTAGCCACAACATGGTCCATAAAGGATGGATATGAGGTGCAAGAAAACATTATAATTCTCTGTATTACCTTATTTCGGCAATTCTACAAACTTCCAGTTTGTTTGTGCAATTACCGATGGAGAGAGGTTAGACAGTTTGGGCTGCCGAATAGTGCTGCCCAGATTCCTGGCTTCTTGGATGTATTTCTGTATTGGGGTAGAAAATGGACAAATACACATAAAAGTGTGAGACTACTTTGCTAAGAGAAAAGGTTAAACTTATCTTTACAATCCACCCCCATGCAAAGAGGAGAAAAGGATCACATCCTCTTTCAGAAAAGGCCCCTTGTCATATCCAGCATTACACTGGGCTTAGTCACTTAAGGTACAATTTCACTGGAAGTCAAATCCCCATTTACATTGTCTGTCTAGCATTAGAAAACACATTGTTGAGTAACAAAAACACAATATGAACTGCCAGGGATATTTAGATGCATAGAGCTTCACTTACTGCCTCCACCACTAAGAAATGCTTTTTAATTTTTTCATGTAAAATGAAAGTTTGTAGTAATTACCCAGACTGAGACTATGCAAATGGCAGACTGGTCTACATGGGGACTGCAAGAAAACTTTCACTGGAGCTTGACAACATCCGAGATCTATGCCATGCCCTGCATTACTGCAGATCTCCTGTTTCTTACCCACCATCCCAGTCTTTCAAGTAGCTGCAAAATGCTACTAACACCTCTCAGCTGTGAACCATCTGCATTTTTGAGCAAAATCATTTCCTGAACTCACTATACCTGAAAGATTTTTAAATTTTTTTTAAATTTAAATTTTTTTAGATTTTTTTAAAAATTTGCTTCTGTTACTGCCACCCAGGAGGTGCCATTGTCTTCACCTGAGCGACAAGAACAATACAACAAATGTTTTGAAAGCCAGGTGATCACCGATTGGTTTGGGGCACAGCTAACTGTGAATAAGTGGTAAAGTCTTGTATAGGCACTGACAGAATACTCAGAGTACTCAGACTAATAGGTAACTTCTCTACCTTACACTGAAAAAATTACCACCTGAAAAGTTAGTAAATAAATGGATTTATCAAACAGGATATGATCTTTCCAAAGAGGGAAAACCACATCTTCTCCACCAGCCTTGCACTAAAGAGCTATGATATATACATTTATTTATGCATCTTTATCCAGAACTATGATTACAGTCATATTGTGCATTGGACATACCAGATAATGCTCTGACACAGATTTTATAGAGAGCACGAAGGGCCAATCATGCTGCTCCCAGTCTAAACATAACTGCAGCCGAAGCTCTGACATGGAAAAGTCCAGGTGCTGGCAGGACAAGTTGGTAGCAAAAAGCCAAGCAGACCATGTAAAGTGAAAGTGGTAAGCACACATGAAGTAATAAAAAGCAAGCATGCAAAACAGAAAGGAAAAGAGTGAAGACACAATACAATGCAGAACTCCCAAGCATTCAACAGAAAAATAAATTCATAAGTAATTAAGCTGAAAGGAAAAAAGAAAAGATGGTGTTCAGCCATTGGATTAGTGTAAACTCTGCCCTCCACTGGACACAGATATTTGCAAGTTAGAAGCCACTAAGTGTCAATTCCACAGATTTTTGTTGGCTGCCCTAAACCTTCAATTCGTCTAAAACTCACAACACTGCACTTTGAAACCACTGCCTCCTGCTCCGCCCGATCCCCAGTGCTCATCTCAGAAGGGCTCCCTCCCCATTCTTTCAGAACTAATAGGAAAGTCTCTGGTTCACCGGGCAGAGGGGGTCGATGTCCGGTAAGTGTCATGTAATCAACAAGGTACAGTGTAAAACCCTAAAACTCCAGCACAGATTATCCTGGCAGTTGGTACGTACCCTCACCTGCGCATGTTATTGTCATTTTTATTCCCCAGAAATCATTTGCCTTGTGTGAAAGAATAACACCTACAGGATAATCAACTTGTGAAGAAACAGTTAAAAAACAAAACAAGTGACTAGAGATAGATTTCTGCCTTTGTAATTACCTAATTGAAATCCCAGAAGTTAATACGTGACAAACACCATAGTTGCTAAAAGCAATAATGAGGTTACAAATCAACTATTCTCCACTGCTGTTACTCCCAAATAAAAAGTACTTTAGAGTTATCTGAGCATATGGAACATGTCAAAGCCGGAAACTAATCGAAGCTTCTTTTATTATGCAGACATGCTTCTATTACATGGTTATGGATGACATAGATGACGCCATACTTCAACAAAGTTTCAACAGTGAGAAAATTCTGGAAATGAGTACACTGTAAAGGCAATTAAACTCATCACTAACATAAAAGAATGAACTGGACAAAGATACTTGATCTTGACAACACTATCCTAACAGTTACAAGACTACTTTAAAATTCCAAATGAGGCTTTTCTGAAGATATTTAACAAGGCAAGAGGATATTGTCTTCAATGAACAACATACATTTAAACAAAAATAACGCTGTGGGGTTACTAAACAGAAAAACTAATTCCGATATTTTAAACCAGATTATTCTTGGAATTACCCGTAAAACAACACCCAGTGAAACAGTCTGCAGTCTGTATCATGTGAATCAGAAACTGTACTGTAATTAGTTCACATCACCCAGATCTTTCAAAATCTGTTCACAACAAAGAACAACTGTGTCAGCTGTAGAAGCACTGGTGAGTGAAGTTATCGGTTCAGAAGGTGGGTAAATCAGCATGAGCCTGTGCTGTGCAAAACCAGGCAGACACAAACCTGACAGTATGAGTAGGGTTCACAGTCCCACCTTAGCATGAGGTTACGTGTCAATCTGCCACCTTAAGACTTCTTTTATGGTCTACAGAAAAAAAGACGCAACTCCAAAAGGCAATGCTTCTGATTTTAGAATGAAATTAATCACACTCTGGAGGTGGTTATCTTTCCTCCATCAAACATGCAGAAGAAGCACAGGGTGACTAAGTTATTTAGAGACAGGAAATAGATGGCCAAAAACTGTTAGGATTGCTTCCCTCCCTTCTCCCCCCACTCCCCTGCCTTCCTTTTCTTTTTTAAACCTTAAAGCATGTGATGACACTTTCAGGGAACTCTCCTATACACGGGATTAAATAATTTTGTCCTGAGAAGGGGTAAAAATGGTGTAACTTTTAGAATAAGCAAACTAAGTATTTTTGGTCTGCTAAGGACCAGGAGCTTCATTTGTATTAAATACAAACAAGACAGAGCAGAGATGGACTGCAAATCACTGTCTAGACATTTCATAAAGGTTACAGAGCATTATTCAGGCAATTGGGGAAAAAAAAATCAGATCTCTATAGTTGAACAGTTTTCACCTCTCTCTGATCATTGTCAAGACGCAGGTGCTCTGTGTGTTGCTTCTGTCTGTCCTTCCGCCTCCACTGTGCAGGAGCATTTCTCTTTGTCCACCTACAGGCAGAGGAATATTATTAAGCAAATATCAAGAGTTAGGTGAAGGGGAGTAGCAATGGGGGAAATAATAAGTTTCTTTCTTATTGTATACTGAACTTGTTGACATCAATTACATCAAAGTGCAGCTGCAAATACACACAAAGAACCTCTGTAGAAGAATCTAACATTGGCCAACCAAAGGATTTCAGAAAGTTAGATCACATACACTTGCCTTGTATTTTTCCATTCTTTTACAATATCCAGTTACAATTTACACCTTTTTCCTCTTCCTTCAAAGTTTCAATAAGAAGATATCCTAAAATATTTGCTAGCTCTTAACTGAGATCCAGTAAAAAGATCTGCTTTTATATGGACAATAATTATGAATAACTCAAAGTACATCAACTATAACCTCAACCATAATAGGACTTTAAGATAATTTGCTTCTCCACATGCATGTTTAAAAAAGAAAAAAAAAAAAAAAGAAAAGAGAAAAAAGAAAAGAGACATAACCAAAAAACCCACCACACACAACCCACCCACATCATTTTATTGTTCTCACTTTAGAAAAAGGCACTGAATCTGCTTTCTAGTATGTGTGCTTTGGTACCATTCTATAGATCTTGCCAAGTTCCAGCACCTGTGGTCCTAGCTTACTCACTTGTTGCTTGCTGGTCCAGTGGATAAAACATCAGACTGAAGCTTGGGAAAAAATCCAAGCTCGTATTTCCCTTGTCCAATTTTCATGTCCAGTAAGTGTGGGTGAACCGCAGTGTGATCGATTTTTGCTAGCCTTAATTCAATAGATTTCTCTGAAATAGTAAGAAAGTTATTTTTTTTAAAGGTGTCTTAATCAGACGTATCTATAATCACATATCCTCAACGAAAAGCCTATCTCAAATTTAAGAGAAGAGGTGCAAGTTTCTTACCCAACAGGTATACTAGTACAAGAGTGTATTAAATGTCAAAGAACTGCCACCAAAAGGAGAAAAATGTTTATCTTAAGCTCAAACATTTTTCACATAAAGCATGCAGGAAAACACTTGAGTTCAATTAAACTTTACACTAATTTCTTTCACATCTCAGCTTCCTATACAACGTTCAGTTCCCCAGTTAAGTTTTACACCTCAGCTTTTTTGGTCTGTTTTTTTTTTTTAAGGTTTCAAAGCATGAATCGTTATTTAACTTCAACCTGATATCTACAACAAACAGCACTGGTCGTATTTTCCTAAGTGTCAAGAAAGTGGCTTATTACTCTTACCAGCCTCATCAATGGTTGTACACTTTTGATACATGGATGTGCGCAGAGTTGGTGTCCTAACGTTTAGCAGCCTAATTTTATCCACTCTAGAATCAAATACTCTCAAAACAGGGTCTTTATCATCTTCATCATGGCACATAATCTTATTGTCAATAAAAGATGCAAACATCTGGGTCTCCAGGAATCTCGAGAGGAAAGGCAAGTAAGGTTCAGGCTGGTCGGACAAGAAAGATGCCTAACAGACAAGAAGAGATGAGTGTTTGGGAGTCTGCAGAGAGATATATCCACCAAGAGCACCAATTTTTCTAATCAAGGATGTATTAGAGTGCTTGGTGCCACTTAAAGCCTAGTTTTATTACACACACCAATTCCATCTCTGAGACAGGCAGCCTATATGAAACCTTCAGTTTCATGACAATCACCTTCTATGTAGCACAATTATTAAACTGTGATTTTACTATTTCCTTAATTTTCTAAAAATTTCAGCAGTATCCCAGCAAACCACAACAACAGTACCACAGATGTGGATATTATGTACTTCTGCCTGGGCTCAAAGCATATGAAGTTGATAGAATCTTTTCATATGATTTGACAGGAATCACATTAGCGTTTTAGCAGGCAGTGCTGCAACATAATCTTCGTCCTCATGAACTATCCTGCTGACAAATACATGATCTCCAGAAAAGATGATAGTAGTAAAATCTGGAGAACGGTGTCTTGTGTTTCCCTAGAAAAGAACTAGGAATATATTTGGTACACCTGTACATAAGTGTCATGTGGGGCCACAGCTTTATTCATTAACATATTCAGTAATTTCTCCAGTTAAAAAAAACAAATTAATTTTCATTAGTAATAATTAACCCTAATGTAGAGGTTAGCCATAAACTGAGGGTTTCTAAGCTATTTTTCTAAAGCAAGCTGTATTTTTCTACAGTATCCTTAAAAGAGTATCTTCATCACTCTAAGTGTGCGTATGTACATATTTTCCCACCTAATACAAAAGATGTGACTTTTTTGGGGAACACTGAAATTTAAGAAAGATTTAATTTAAGATTTTGATAGTACTGTTTTCCATTTTATGGCCCAATAAACAAAGTTTTAGGATTGTATACTGTTTTACTTTTACACTGACATAACTTCTTATTATAACTTACTTTATCAAAGTTTTGCATCTGTTCCCTGTTTGTAAACCAAGATTCCTTGTCTTGACTGGGTTGAATGACAAATACTTCATAATCTGCAAACATTTGTGTAAAGCGGTTGGCAAAAACTTCACGAATTTGAATGTTCAGCTGGTAAATCTTGAATTCTTCTTCATCACATTGAATTTTAAGATCCTTTTTGCTACTGGTCTCTTCTCGCACCTCCAGCTGAGAAAGTAAGGGAACAGACAAAAAAATGTGTATTGTTGCTTTGTCAGGTATTCTAGGTATATAAGATATTTTCATAAGAAAGTGGTATAAACTTAGAATAAATCTTAAAACCAAGAACAAACAAGGCAAAGTGTATTTTCAAACCCATTATCTTGGCAAAAAAAACACTTGGAGGATAGACAAAGGTTTCCCTAGATGCTGTGGGGTTAAACCCCACTCCGTCTCTCCCCCAAGCTTGCCCTTGTCTGTACAGATGCTCACAAGATTTGTGAACATGTTATCATACACTTCTACTGAACACAGACAAAGAGAGTATTTAGACCATGACTTCAGACCATCTGCAACTTCAGGTCGAGAGAGCGGCAGATGATTTCATAGCTCACCTTTTCTAGACTGACACCTGTTCTTTTAACAAGTGCTTGGAGTCTTGCAATAGTTTCATTTTCCTTTAGCAGCTCATAGGAATTCAAAGGCGATCCTGCGATGTTCCCATTTCTTTTATCAGACACCAGGTCACAGGCTCTGAGGCTCTTCATCTTGGAGGCACTTTCACTGCAGTGAAGGTTTCCCTCAGGTGGAATGCCAAAAGCCATCAGCGTCTCTGAAATTTCCTGAATGAACTCAAGTTTATTTGGGAACTGGGGTAAGTCTTCTGGCAGCTCGATGAAATGGTTGTCTACATCCACAAAGCACAGGTTAGCCTGGGATTTAATTTAGTACAGGGTACCATTACAACAGAACTAAGCACAAGACTCACACTTTATTCATCTTCGGGTTTTGTGCTTATTAAAAGATTGAAATACATTTGCATTTGCTGGGTAATTTTGTAAAACAGACTTGCCCCAATCATAACTAGACTGGTTGGCTGGTTTTGAAGAAAGCTGCACAAGGTCTGTATTTCCAGGTCTTTCAGAGAGGCAATTAAGAAAGACAACACATTTTAAAGTTATTTACTAGGTTCAAAAGAGATTGTAGCGCACAGCAGGTACAGATGTGTGCATTTTTTCATACACATACAGCTAGATTTTAAGTACAGGATATTTGCAGTACTATTTTATACACGTGCATACGTATGCAGGTGATTTGGCGAATTCCATTCTAAAAGGTGTACCGATGTCGCAGAACCTGCTATAAAGTTATCTTCTCTCTTTTGTAAGCGACTTGAGAACTAAGGTAACTCCCTGAATGAGTTTAGAAGTTTGTTTCCAAGGGGAAAAATGAATTGAACAAGTTTCAATTCTGTTTTCCTGTTCAAATCTCTATCTACCTAATTTACCACCAAAAAAGACCAAGAAGAAAAAAAAAAAAAAAAGAAAAAAGAAAAACCACCTATGTGGCTTCTACAGCAACATCAAAAGAAGCTACTCATCTTTCAAGGATTTACCTCACCCAGTATTTGGCGAGGGCAGGGGTTCCCCTTTTGGCTTCTGCATTGCAAAATCTGTATCAAATGGTTTAATGATGTTACATAATTACATACACCACAGCAAGAACCCGTTCATGTATGAAATCTGCTTGGAAAGTTAAGCATACAGACCAAACTTTGCTTTTCTGTAGAGGCGTTTCAGGTTTTCCTCACCTCAGAATTAACATGGACTGTCACTTTTCTGTTCAGCCTTCCCTATTCAAAATGCCTTCACCCACATTACGGGGTACTTTCAACCTAGCTTCACTGCATTATTCCAGGAGGCACACCCGAATTTAGGTCTCACTACAGCTTTGGAGCAAAAACACCATATCAAGTCGTGAGAGCTAACAGATCTCCAGTTATTTCTTATGATTCAGTAAGTGCATAAGGACAGAAGCACTCTCACAATTTAATAGGAAAGGAAGAATTGGAAGAGATTAACCTCACATTGAAGGAATGATGGATGATCCCAGAAATCAGAGCAATGTACACAAGCAGGGAAGCATCAGTAAGGACAAGGTAGTTTCCCTAGGATTTTGCGGTGGGGCTGATCATAGGTAGACTGGGATAAGCTGTGCCTGACGAGACCCCTTTGTTTAAGTAAACTGTTGTGAAAACATACATTTAATACTTGTGACAGATTTAGCTCTCTCGGCATTACTACAAAACACAGTTAGAATGTAAATTCTCCTTAAAATTAAAATATCTATTGTGTTTAATTTCTTGAACTTCAACATTAAAATTAAAAAAAAAAATTGTAATTCTTAAAGTAGAACTCCACTGGACATATTACACTGAACTTTGCATGAAAAAGTCTAATTTATGCTCTGCTACAATATTACCCATAGTTACAAAGGTAAGTAGAAGAATTCCAGTTCTCCATTTCCTCATGTTTTAGCATTTTCATACTGGAATTGATTTCTTATGCTCAAAGGAATGCATATAAAACAGCTTAGTAGCTCTTGTACAGATCCTTTACTGTAAATTAAGTCACGAATTGCATTGTGTGTTCCAAAAGAATTCAAGGTCAATAAACAGAACTAAGACCTCAATTTGAAACACCTGCTGGTGCACCCTAGAGAAACTATTTTTTCAATAGGGCAGGTGTCACCACTTACATTTCCCCAGTGCCCACATTGCTCAAACACAGCAGGTGGTGTGTGTGCCCACCCAGCGAGGCAGCGCCAGCAGTAGGCTGGGGATGCACACTGGATGCATCTGCTTCTCCTTTAAAGGAACATTCAGCACAAAAGGACAGTACCTACACAGGAACTCTCACGTTTCAGGTAAGCACCTGAATTTAGGAACTTCAAGACCCCCACTATACACATGGTATGTGATGATTAGAAGTCAAGTCAGCTAATATTTATCAGGAACGCTGTAGGCACTTCAGGACATGAGAGAAACAGAGCCTTGAAACTAGGCACAATGTCTACCAATCCGCGCTGAGGGAAAAACAAAAAACATTTTATTTGTCACAAGCTGTCTGCGAAATGGCAAGACAGACTCATTACGATACTCTTCAAACAGTTTAATTGTATTAGTTCATTTTAAAACTCTCTTTAACTGTTGCCATACAACTTTCCTTCTTTTTTGGATTATCGTACCTTAGCATAGATCCTGCAGGAAACATCACTCTGGGTTAAGCTTGGTTGTACCTAAAAAGTGCTTGGCCACAAAGTAACCAAACGTTAACCTTACCAATTTAGAGATTCTAGTCTTCACACTGAAAATAAACTCCCTACCCATGAAGAAAAAGCCAAATGTAACGCTTGCTAAAATTGCTTTTAAGTGTCTGGGCTCAGCTGGCTAACTTTTCCAACAGCTAAACAGCCCTTCTGCAGAGTTTCTCTTTCGGAGCAATGCACACAGTTCCAACACTCTAACTAACGATGACTGTTTATCATGCAACTTACTATTACATTTCCCAGAATTTGCCCTATATAGAAGCACTAAAAAAAAAAAAAAATACATTAGCGTGCAGCAATACTCTAAAGAATGTAAAGAATATTTTTGAGGACACTCTACACTATTCAGTGCCTGCTTAATAACTCAGAGGACTACCTAAAGCAGCAAAAGCAAAGGAGATTCAGCAGATGGCTTTAGCATCTCAACTTAGAGAGACTGAGGTCATCCTCAAGAACTGCATAAGCACTTCTGAAAAGGTCATGATCCCCAGGGAACACAAATGGCAAAGACACTTCACAAGCCCTTCAAGAGGTACTGAAACAACATTTTTCTGTAAAAAAGAAATCCCAAGTAAATAAGCCACCAGCAACAGACACCAAAACAGTAAGTGCCACAATGCTGCTACACTACAGATCCAACAGATCAGAATACCAGTAAGGAGAGAGGGGTCCCCTTCCCTAAAAAGCAAGAGAAATGAAATGACACTTATTTTTTACTAAATCATGGCCATCCAAAGCATTTTGCATGCTAGGAACTGGGCAAATACACAAAGTAGAAAAAGAAAGGAGTTCTTTGATTACAAAGTTTTAGTTACTTTGTTTCTGGAGGTGACACAGTTGAGTGAGCTGTGAAAAGCTGACAGCTATGTGTAAGCCTCCATGGATACAGTGGTCATCATTTTACACATACGAAATTAAAATGATGCAAAGACAAGATACTTCACAACATGTGCAAGTAGAGATATAATTGAAAGAGCATCCTTAAGTTAGTCACTTGGTATTTCAGGTCTCCAGAACAGTCAAATATTCTTTTATTTGTTGCTGAGGTTTTCTGACCAAAAGAAAACCTAAAATAGTTACACACCACTTTCACAGCAGATTGTTACAAGAGAGGACACGTAACATCATCACACAATGAAATGTTCTCCTGAGACACAACGCTAAGGAACAAGGGTGCCACATCCTAATTTAAAAACCCATAAACTTTTTATCATCACAAATAACAAGGTGTCCAGGTGAAAGCCTTACAAACCTGAGAAATGTGGATGCAAGTAAGTCAATGTTCATGTATCAGAATGTCCCGGTTCCAGCTGAGACAGAGTTAAGTCTGGTCGCCCGAGGACAACAGCAGAACTTTCCGTTGGCTCAGTGGGGTCTGGACTACACCCACCCATCCCAAAGCCAGAGCACAAGTGCAATTCTTCAGTTTGACCTCAAGTACAATAAGGCCCAAACCCCCACACAGATTGAGCAACGCCTGCATCAAGCCCATATCCTTCCTTTCAGCTCGTTCAAAAAATATAGAAGGAAACGATCTAGGTTCTGCCAAAAGGATGTCTAAGGAGGAACTAACATTCACTAATAATGAGTAACAAGCATCTACCATCTTCGTACATAAGGTCCCAACCTTGCAAATAACCACTCACTTCACTTAACGCACAGAAAACATGGATATGCAAATTTATACACACACAGCGGGCTTGTGGAACGTGTGTTTACAGTGGTCCCAAATTCTAAAGGGTGCTTCTGTGCCATTCCTGCAACCAAACGGTGACTTTCACATTTATTCTCATCACTACTGTTCCTCATGCCAAACCAGAATTTGTGACTAAGAACAACTTACAGCTGCAGCTTTCAGAAACATGAAGGAATGAACCCCCACCACGGCAGGGGGGCTGGAGCTAGATGATCTTTAAGGTCCCTTCCAATCCAAACCATTCCATGACTCTATCAATTTAACTCTGCAAGTGGCTGTTTAACACTGAAGTAAAGGAAAACATAAAACCGAAGCCTGTCAATAAATTAGCAATATTATCAATGATCTATCACACCAGCAGATAGCCTGAGAATGCATACGAAACACTGATTATCTTTCAAAAATCATTATCTTGGTCAGTCTGCTCTAAATGTGTTGACATCAAGAGGAAAAAAAGGCTTTTCAAGAGATCTTTATCTTCTAAAACAACATACAAAAATAAAACCCCACTGAATTTCATAAGATTTAGCACTGAATAACATCTTTTTAATGATTGAAATAAAGATACTGAGAATATATATATCTTATATTAGCAGGGAACTGAATTTCAGGTTCTAAAATCTTTCAACTTTTCTAAAAGAAATAGCTATTGCCCAGGACCCCAAGATGCTTGGAATCACTTCGTTAAGAACAAGCTTTTTTAAAACTTTTGGTTTTTGTTTTTTTAAACTTTTGTTTAATTTAACCACTGCTGGAAGACTCAGCATTGCTTATTTTCACTCAATTTCAATTTCCATCATTCTCCTGCATTACAGAGTGACGAGATGCATGGACAAAGCCAGTAGCTTGCAATGGCCCAGATTAACTTGCCTGTTAAAAATATACTGCTATAGCACTGCAAAAGTTTCTTTAAAAGGAAATTCAAAGACACATTAAAAAAAAAAAATCTTACCTTAGTACTTGCTGGGTGTATGATCTGCAAGAAAGCTAGTTTAACCACTTTTTTGATCAATTTTACTGATAAACAAACCACATTTTTGTCAGCAACATCTGAAACAGCTTCATGTTCTTCCCTTCCCCTTTGATTTCTGCAGCACCTTATTCTAGCACCTCTTCCCCCATGCCCCCCCTTTTCTCTTCAGAGTTCCTCACAAGCCTCTGATGCAGCTATCAGTAAAACCACAAGGATGCTCACGCATACAGAAAGAGCCCTCAGCAAAGCAGCACTACATAAGAAAAAGCTGAACTTCAAATGCACTGTACCACTGACATGTACAAGAAACTCAACCCTACAGTAAGCCTCAAGTCTTTTTTCCAGTTTTACTGGGTGACAGAGTCAGGTCTTTGAGTCATTGGTGAACTTGAATGAATTCTCCAATAGACATTGTTTTCTGCAGAACTCAGAATAAATTAGAACACAAAACAGCTATTTATACACGCTTTGCGAGAAGTGAGGAAAATTCTGATACTTGCTGTATCTGTGAATCAGGAGCCTAGAGGCAGGACTTGGAAATTAACTTCCTCATATAACCTTGATGATTTCATAAAGCATCATATACATTCCAAACTTTATAGTTACGCAATGTTAAGCATTAATATCCCTTTTGTTACTGATGATAAATTTGTCTTTGACAAAGTACAAATAACAGAACCCATATGCCCTCTTCTACCATTCTAGGACAACACATCTTACACACGGTCCTTGTCAGTCTCTACGTCAGTGTAGAAGTGTAGAGCTTCTCTGCTTCTTGAAGCGAAGGGTACCTGACAGCCTAACCATAAAGCAAAGTAGTTTCAAGATAAACCTGTAATCCACAGGTCTAAATATATCAAAGCTGATTAAATTACTAATATCAGAAATACTGATACTGACCAACAGTTCACTTAGTGAGACCAGCATGCACTTTGAATTCTGCTTTACATCTAAAGATGGTACATTTACTTCTTGTTGCAACAGAAGATTTTTTTTTTTTTTAGAAGTAAACCCTCTGCAACAAAAATCTCAACAACAGTGAGCACATGTTCTTCCCAGCCTACTTTACCTCTCGGATATGCAAATCTACTGGTACAGGATAACTTCTTAGTCATCTTTGAAGTCTCCGCACATGTTCAAGTCCATTTCTATCCCATAGCTACATTCCCAGCCTGCAGGGCTAAGGACTTCAACACTCCACACGAAACCTTACTCATCAGTGACTACCAAGAGGATTTCTCAGACTGTCGTACTCATCACGTACAAAGCTTTAAGAGCTCACTCTTCAAATAAGAGAAAAGCTGAAGCATCGGAAGGACAAGTTTAAGCCCTGCAGCAAATCCCATCACATGGGCACACTGCTGCTAGCAGATCAGTCCTATGCATCCTCCCCTTCCTGCCCTCCCAGACAACTCCGATCTCTGTGAGATACTATCAAAAATCTACTCCTTTACCTTCATAAAGGCTATCTGTAAAACAAATGTAAATTGAGGTGCCAGGTTATTTTTTAATACTACTTTGATTTTTAACATCTAAAAGTAGGTCAACTACCTTAAAGCTCCAAAGTAAGCTGATAAAGCTCTTCAAAACCACTTACTTTCTAAATAAGGGAAATATCTATTTGAAATTAGAATATGTTTATTTACTTGGAAGTATTACATTGATTTTAAAATGAGCAAATTCTTTACAAAAGGAGGACAGTCTTTTAGAACCTTGTTATAATAGTAAAAATATCCATGGTGCATATTAATATGTATATCCCACATGCAGTTTATTTCATCAGCTATCCTCTCTAAAAAGGATACCACACATATTGATTAGGCCCCTCAGCACATCCAAAGTTTTGTAAAAATGTAGTAGACCAAAGCAGTAGACTGTTTCATAGCAAGAACATGCATTACTCTGTTACTAATTTATGTCAGTACAAAAAAAAAAAAAAAAGAGAGGAAGAAAAGAGAGAAATCAAGAGATTAAACACTTTAGCTTTCATAGAAGAAATAACAAAGTCTGAAGAGAAATTTTCCTTTGAACTTGCCAGGAAAAATAAATGAAAACTATCAGCATATGGATTTGAGAAAAAGAGCAATGTTGGCATGGTGACCAGACTGGAGGTTCACAAAAATATCTTGTCTTTAATTTCATGCAGCCTTTTTAAAGTTTGTGTGTGTGTGTTAAGGTACGTTGCAGCATTGCCTGATAATGAAAATACAAAACAGCACCACAAAACCCTCTGCCTGCCACATTTCTGCCTTCCCAGTAATGTAAATGGTACTAGAAGAAAACAGACAACTAGAGAAAATGGCAGAGATTAGAGAACCCTACCAGTGCCTGTAAGTAGGGTGTTTCCCATGTCCTACCCCCACAAAGTGACACCTACAAGAAGCAGACTCGAGCAGGGGCCAGAGCTGTGCTGTTCCGTAGCTAAAACTCTGCAAGCACTTGCTTCCCACGGGGAAGATGCCTGATAGACGCGTCCAGCTTTTTGACAACAGCCAGCCAGCCCACACTGTAACACTCAGCATTTTCTATATACAAGAGCAAATAAAAACAACCTCTGAGCAGTTTGAACGCAGTCCCAGTCCCACTCCTGAGCTGCAGGACCTTTACAGACCATTTGCTTCTCCGTTATACAGCAGCTGGTGTTAACAGAGCCTCACTACAAGGGAGGACTTCCTGAGCACTATCCCAGTTAGCACCAGTTTGCTCAAGCATGCTGCAGACTGAAGCACGCACTCTAGAAGAAAATTTGAAACAGTTTTGGTGCAGACACCTGACAGACGGGGTCCAGGGAAGCCAAGCCCAACTCAGAAACGCGGTGCAGGGAAACCCATCCCAATCCTGCGCAGACAGGAACCGGCCCAAGCACAGCACAGCGCTGAAGCCTGTCAAGCTCTGCTCGCTCGGCACCATGCAGAAGCAGCTGTATGGCCTTTTGCTCACTGTTGGGGAATCTACACTGCATCTTCTTGCATTTCCTAGCACTACAGGGCTAAGTTTTGCAGCACAAAAATATTCATTCCGCTGCATCAACACCTATAAAATTACAGTTTAATTTTATCAGAGCATACAACTGCCAAAATGGGTTTATTTATCTATCCCACAAGATTTTCTCCAGCATTTCCAAAAAATAAAGAGCTATCTCAAACCAGAGCCAGGAAGAACCTCACAATGGCTGTCACAGTTAGCACTAGGGTTTTGGGTCATTTCTCACCTCCCTCATAGTCACATACGTTGTTTAATCAATTGAGACAAGCTCCTCTCACCTCTTGAGGAAGTTCCAGCTTAGACCTGTCATCCAGCCCATTAGAGTGCAAGCCCATGAGGTAAGGGACAGGAGCATCTAGAAAATGAAGGAGGGATGCTGGAAGGATAGGAACATACACATGCTGCCACTGAAATGGAAACATTAGTGCTGTGATGGTCTCTGCCACAGTCATCAGTCTCTGATAATCTGAAAAAGATGAAGAAAAAAAACATACTTATTTCACAAACACTTTAAAGTAAATGAACCTAAGTTAAAGAAATGAGAGCTTGCTTTAAAACAGAAACCACAAAACCCAGTACTAGCTGAGTGGCATCTTAATGAAAGCCGAGACTTGTATACCCAAGCACATTTTGCTGAAACAACAAAGAGAGCTCAACCCAAAGTAGGTCACCCTACAAGTCATATGGTAATGAGGAAACTGAGTCTTAGCATCCATTAAGTCACCCTCCGCCACCTATACCAGGGCTACCACCGGTTTGAGTATGGAATCAGTATTGCAATCGGCTAAGAAACACATCGGAAATAATGTCTTTTCTCTGTGCTTATGGCTTTCTATGGAAGCCTTGGATGAAACCCAAGGCATCTGGTATCTCTCAGACAAACGTTTTTTTAAAAGAGTGTTTAAATGTCTATAAAGCATGCTGTATAGCAGCCAGCCAAACAGTGTGACTGAAATAACTGCGTAGAAAATAAAAAGGATCAGCTTTGTTTATCCTTTGCAATGTATGACCAAAGTCTCACTTCAATGCAAAAACAACCCATGTCTCCTCCCAGAATTTAACAGCCATGATAAATGCTCCTGTGCAACACGCATACCAAAAGATGTTTTTATTCAGCAGCTGGTGGCTAGAGCAGTTAACATCACATTACGCCAGGCAACGACCTCGCCCTCCTCTTTTATACTACAGAATTATCTTTAATGTTTTTTTGATATCTAAGGAGGCAACACCAAATGAATTTGGAGCCTGTGGTCTAATACAACTGCTGAAACATTCAGAATGCTTTCGAACTGCCAGGCTGGAAAGAGTATAAAACAAGCTCACAAGGGTAAGACAATTCCTGCCTTCGGTGAAGCTATAGATACAGTACAAGCTGGAAACAGAAGATGTCTTTGTCATGATACTGCAACAATATCCAATTCCAGCCATGAAAGGGGAGGGAATAGGAGGAAAGGAAAAAATCGATACCCTTCATATTTGTGTAGGGGTGTGGGGTACATGTGTCTTCTCCTAACATGTTCACAACACTACAGACACTGTGAAATTGGAAAAGGCTCTTGATCGCGCCGGTTCAGGTGCTGAGGTTTCTGAAGCTGCTGCACACTGTTGCAGAGTGCAGATGAAAACCGCAAAAAGAACATTTGTTCTAAACAAACACTCTGGAGAAAAATAAAGCTTAACTGTGCACTTTCTAAGGTTATGGCTTTAATTCTATGCTTTAACCATCCTCCACTCAGACTTCAGATAGCAGAAGACAGAAGGTCAAGAAATTCAGTTCCTGGCATTCATGATTAATTTTGTTTGAAGTCAATGTTGCAGAGTTTGGTGTCTGCAAAGACACACAATCCAAGAGGACCTCAGCACAGGTTTTGCTAACATCAGTCATAATTCTGCAATCTAGGCTCTTGACTTTTCTTTTCAGATCAAGCTCTGCCAGTGGAACAGGTTACTGCACAGAGCTACTTGTCACCACCGCACAGTGGATCTACTGTGACTGAAGGAGCCTTCAATCAAAACAAGTGAAAACAGCTTAAACAGTTTAAAGCTTTTGCTAAAAGCTTACTTGGATTGAAACACCTTAGGGAACAATCAATGAACGTCACCTGCAGCCCTCCCCTATTCTGCCTGGACACCAGTTTCTGCCTTTACCATTACTTACTGGTTTGCAGCCTTAACCACAGCCTGACTGCAAAGGAGTGATGAATTAATGACAAGCTTTTGGGAAGAAGAAGAAGAATCCATTCCATACTCTATTTTCTTCAGCTTTAAAAGGAACTTCAAATGAGCCATAGATATACAAACATTCCAGCTGGTTTGTATTCAGCTTGTTTATTTGAAAAAAACAAGTCTCAAAATAGAAACAGTGTTTTCCTACTACACAAAACTCCCGTCTAATCCTGCTGGCTAATTTAAATACAACTTCTCTGTCAATTAGCCTTTCAAATTAATTACAAGGTAACATCAATAATTCAGAATTTCTATCCACTCAGTAGCTACCTCCTGCAACTGAGTTGTCTGCAGATGCAGCTCTCTGATGCTGGATATCCACGTGCCTTAAGATTTTCCCAACTATTTGGCCTGCACGGTCACAGCCTGCAAATAACAATGACTATATTCTACAGGCTTATATGCACGTCAGGAGCTGTTAGCAAAGGCAAGGAGAAAGGCAAGAAGCCTGCAAACATAAAAAATAAAACATTTAAGTTATTTTTAAGTCATACCTATCCTGAGAGTGTATGGAGTTTTTCTGGTTTTGAAAAATAAAGCAGCATACTTCTAGTACCAAAGGATTACAAAAAATTTAAAAATAATAATAACAAAAAAAAAATTAAAAGAAAGAAGCAGTGTTTCAGTAGCAATCTTGCTCTGATCCTGACATGTATGGTTCTAAATCTAAATCCACCCAATGATTATCACAACTTCATCTGACCTAGAAGAACAAGAAACGATCCCAACCACCTCAACTGTCACAGGTTTGAACACCAAGAGATTTAACAAACCCAAAGGACATTAAAAAAATTTAGGATTAATATTCTGAAGGACAACCTAGACCTCACACCACTGCATGTGCAGGAACATGAGCAAGCCCTTACAAAAGCTCAAGCAATTCCACTTGGAACTGAGTGCTCCTTCACCAGTATGTTCAACACTCCCCATTCCATAAACAGCAGAAAACCAATGTCAGTCAACCATGCAGAAGAAAGTGCAGAATGCATGAGGAGCATGTTCCAGTTATAAAAAGAAAAAAAAAAAAGAAAAAAAAACCAAAAACACACCAAACCAACAAACAAACCAAAACAAAGCAAAAGAAACCGGTAAGTAAAGGTATAGACAATCAGTAAGCTTTTTTGAGTCCTTGAATTCCTGTATAGTTTTTCTCTGGTAGTTTAACAGTGTTTATACAATGCAACAACTGTGACATAATGCCCTGCTGCCATTACACACTTTTAATCACCTTGACTATACACACAAAATCAACCTTTGGCTTGAGTCTATGCACACATCTCAACACACAAACATCTGTATTTCACGCTTGGACAATGCTGCTAATAACTGCAAGACACATTTTATAAATAGTTGCCATTTGTATTCTACATATTTCAGTGACAGCTCAACAGAAGAAAATATCAAAAACAGATTTCAGTAACACCACGGACTATCCCTGGATTTGTCCTGGAGCCTTCCAGGCTTCTTTACCATTAGTATAAAACGGTGTTTGAAACTCAGTCTGTCTACTTTAACCCACACCATTAGGGATGGGTGGGTCTGGAGTTAACATTAGCCAGCTTAGGGAATAAAAAAATTATCTTTTGGCATAGCTCCACATACTCTGTGTTAGAGTAAGAGGATGCAGAGTAAAAAGCCCAGTGCTCACAAATGTTAACACAGAAAAGGACAGCACTACCACATGACTTATTAATTGATAAACAGATGCTACGTCAGCTTAGTTGCCGCCTATCCTCTTCAAAGCAAGCTTTCTCTATGTGACTTCAGCAATAACTGTTTCAAGGCTTTAACAGAGATTTCAGATTTAAATTCAGTCAAATAAAACTTTTTTCAGGTCATTTTTATTTCAAAGTAACAACTGAAATGTGATTTCAGGTACCCAAAGAGAAAATTATATTTGCACCACTAATTCTTCAGAAGCACATATAATTAACTATGTATCTTCTCCAAATGCATGGATAGTTTGGCAGAGGTAGGACAGAATTCAGCTAGACAGCTGGAGAGGAACATGGGAGAAGGCATTACTACTCTGTCCAACAGCACATTTCCAGAGACGACGTCAGTCCGTGAACACAGGAGACTGTGAAAACCCAAACTTTTAAGTTTAGGTGTCTAAAAACGGGACCCAACGCATTGCTCTATTTGCAATTCCAGTTCTTTTCTTTACATTAAAATCTGCACATAGATCAGCCTGACTGCATCAGTGTGCTAATGCCACTTCAATGTAGCTATCCCATTGTTTGTGTGTTTTTTAATATTCAATAAATGAAAAGACCTTGTACAACTGCAACAGAACAAAATAAAAACCAAGTACTCACGCTGTGAATAAAGTAGTATCTGAAATTCCAAGAGGGCACAGGTAAAGAGTTGAACCACATTTTCTACACCCAGCAATTCAAAAACTTCTTGAACCGGAAAATCAAATAATGGTAGTTCACTGGTGCTTGGCCTCTGGCAGATAATTGGTCCATAAACACCTGAAAATTTTAATGACCTTCCTGCTGGAGGAAGAGGAACCTCATAGAGAATATTGTAGATGTAGCTTTCCAAAGGTAGAGGTGGAGGCTGAGGTGAAGTCACTGCTTGGTGAAGCTGTTCTAGTACTTTCTTACACGCTTTCATGAAAGACATTGGAGTAATCAGACAAATGCACTTTGAGACGTAGAGCGTGTCTCTGCTGATGTCATAGGAGTTAAAACGCTGTAGCTTTGAAACAGCAGTGCCATTGCAGTCCCCAGTGCTGCTGCAGCTATCCTTGTCATTTGTGGGTGGAGTTTGGAGGATGTCATATTCAGCATTGTGCATATGATACAACGTCTGCATTGCGCTGCAGATCTGTTTGCTAGTAACTTCCTCAAAAAACGTGAGAGAAAATCCAAATGTCCGTGAGCCATCTTCACGAGTAATAATAAAAGAGTGGAACTGAGGTTCTCTGGAATCTGCTTGTGTCTTGAAAGCAAGCCCTTTAGGCATACACAGCTACAAAAAGGGGGAAGAGGAGATAATACCAATTAAAACACTTTTCTCTCCCTCTGCCTCCAGAAGCATTGGTTAAATTAGAATCCACAGCCTGCCATCGCATTTCACTTTAAATTTTATTAAGTGTTACATCTCTGCACAATACAGTAATACACATCTAGATAAGAAAACCTAAAGGAACATATTAAAAGCACTGTATGCAGTTTCTGTTGAAACCCATAACCATTTTGTTACCAACCTCAATGGGCACAAAATAAGAGATAATAACTCAGATAAAGGAAATAATTTTGGTCACTAAGACCAGAAACCTGACAGAGAAAAGAACTATGCTTTATGTAAACTAAGAAACCACACCGCATTCCATTAACCAGAAAAATGACGCACAAAGAAGATTCATTAATTGCAGATTAATTTATTTCTCTAACAATTCTCTTGAATGTCAAAGAAAAGTTATAAAAGAACAAAAACCTCCTAGGGACTTATAACTTCTAAGTTTTAAGATAATTTCCTTTAAAAAATATCCCTATTAAATGAAGAGGCCTTTTGAGCCTGCACAATTTAGAGAAATTCATTATTATTTCCAATATATAATAGACTTCACTTTTTTTGTCATAGAAAATACAGACTAATACCTTCAACTGCTAATGTAGCTTTTTATCTTAAAACCAAAAGCCATTAAGTGATACCAACCATTCCCACTGCATCCTGGTCAAAAGGGTTCCATTCAACATTCTCAGGATAGCGAGCAAGAACTTTGGATTTAAATGTGCGTCTTAATGGAGTCTGTTCAAAGTTCTCCCCTGCAAGCGAAAGAAAAATACAGAAGTAAATATTTAATTCTCTTTTTAAGCTAAAACAAGGTCAAAAAGCGGGACATCAGCAGGTAGATGTGAGAAAAAGTGAATTAGGCACACACTCCTTTTAAGAGAAAGAGAAGATGCAAGACAGTTAGTTAGCACATAATCAGATCGCAGATATTAGCAAGGATTAGCATTGCAGCATTTCTGTGTTGTTATGTATCTGTGCTTTCCCTTAAGCGCGGCTATCTTGAGACTGTGGTCATGACAGCAATTCTCTAAGCCACTCTTCAGAAATTTCAGATTCTTGTTTAAGTATAGCTAAAGCTTCAGTTTTGGTGGAATGTTGTTACTGAAGAAAAGCACAAATATACAAGATACAAAGATGATGCGAGTTGAAGACAGACATACAAGTAGTATCACTTAATTTCTTCTTCAAGACTTAGGAAAAAAGGGTATCACCATCTATTAAAAGAAGTTAGCTGTGAAGAGAGTCTAGAAGGTTAAAAGATCAAGAAGCACATAAATGCCCATGAAGACAGGGTCGCGGGAAGATCAGATGAACAAAAAATTGTGCTTTTTTTCCCCCACACTTTTTCCTTTACCTTCTGTTGCACTCGAAATGAAACGGCTGGCACCATCTCGGGTTTTAGAGGCCTGTATATACTGGCATAAAGCTATACAACAAATAAAAACAATACCGCATTATAAATTTCATATTGTTGTCTGTAATTACGTAGCTAGCACACACCAGTAAAAAACATACAAGTAATCTACACAGAATTAGCGTGCATAATAGATGGTCTACTCTCCTCATGTTTTTTTGTACATATACAACTTTCTAAAAATTTCTTATTTCGGGTCTTGAAGAAGATGATCAGTATGTAACAGCAGCTCACAGTTCCTGTATACACACCCAGAACACTGACACAGCAATAGGAGTTAGCTGCTCGTTAAATGGAAGTTTTACATGTTAAACTATAAAATACTCCCAAAGAGCAGATGATGACAGTAACCCCAAGGACAAGACCATTTCAAGGCCTTTAGAACTATACGAATTTAAGAGGCATGGTCCAGCTTTTCACAGATGCTATCCATAGACTAGACTGGGTGATACAGTCTTGTTTACAAGCTCTCAAATTTCCTCTAGAGCAATGATTGTTCATTGTGATAGCATAGAGCTTTCTGCAGCAAATCTTTGAATGTGTGTAGTTGCTTTAAAAAAAAAAAAAAAGCACACAACTGTGTATCTTAAAATAAGTGTAGCTATCTTACTAGAATGCAATTAGCTAAATGAGCATGCAGCTGTTGAGAGCTGCACTAACAATCGGGCACAACTGCATGAAATCATATGCTTTAAATAAATCAAACTATTTCAGCAACACCTGCAAAAGAGAAAACACACTTCAACTCCTCGCTTGTTTTCTTACATGCAGCAATTACATGGCAATAGCAATTGATTTTGGAATTGGTTGGGTTTGTTCTGTACTTTGACAGTGATATTTGAAGTTTAATTTCTAAGCCAAGAAACTACCACAAAGTAGCCCTACAAAGAAATAGTTATAACACTGCCTAGAGACAATAAAGAACCTAACAAACATGTTACACTAAATAAGGCTTCATTTGCATGGAATGCTTCAGAAGTCCTTCGAGGGTTGAGAAGTCACGTAACTCTGGATTTTGTTTAAACTAAATCTTAAATGTTACCTGGAACAGGGAACTTACTGTGAATCAGGACCTAGGACAGGTCTCACAGCACCCAAAATACCCACATCGATTTTGCTAATCCTCTGGTTTTTAGCACTGAAATTAAAGGAGGGATTGTTTTTCCTGACTGTCTGAAAAAGCAACAGCTCAGCTGGTTTTCATACAAAACCACTCAGCTACACTATTTACTACTTTTTCAATAACATCATTGTTCAGAGAGAAAAAAAAATAAGCATATTCGGGAGTATCTGAAACGTATACAGAGAGATATTCAGGAAAAAACAGAACACAACTTCACTGAAATATGTCAATGACAGAAAACACAACAGCACTTCTGCAAGAACTAAAAACAATCTTAAAAGACTAACACGCATTTAAAGAAGCTTCCAATCTCCAGCAAAAAATAAAAAAAAGACATAATGCCACATCTCTATTTACTGACACAAACATACACTCAACTAAAGAGAGTCCTCTGTAAATGAAGTTTTAAAAATAAGTCAGGAGATTCAACATACCTACTATTTTCTATATTTATCTGTGCAGATGATGTAATGTCAACATCATCACTTTGTACAGGCTGTCAATTCACTATTTGGTTTGAGTTTTTAGAAAGTGACTGCAGTGCTGCGACTCTAAAAATTACGCAAGACTCAGAACTGTACAGGAACTTCTCCCTGCATACCAGCTAGAAAAGTCTTTGAGCAGCTATTTCAAAGGCAGAGTCTAGTCAATTTTCCTTCTATGACAATAAAGAGCAAGTCAGAAGAAGCTATCCTAGTTACCATAAAAAGTGCCTGAGAAAATAAGTCAAAGGTTGCACAACACTGACTTTAAAGTATCATTAATACTGCCACCTTTGTTTGTTGCTCGAGTCCACTGATGTGCTCAAAATAACTACAAAACACAGACATCCAGAAAGGTCTACTAATTAAGTGATTTGTTGTTTCCACCAGGCCAAGCAGCTTCACTCTTTAAATTCTGGTGATACAGCCTGTTATTCACTCAATTCATCCAGTCTTGGTGTACATTTATTGCACACATGACATCTTTAAATAAAAAATATTAGCTAGCATGCAATCAAAACATTAACTTTGTATTTTCCACATAAGGACACCCTTAAAGGAATCTTTTAGCACACAGAGGATATATTTGCAATTCC